TATGTTTATTCACTGAGCTTGGATACTTAGACTACTCAGACATGTTTTTAAATTAGGTGTGCCCCTAATTTTGGTTGTTTGTAGCCTTACACGTGATGGTGTGGATTGCAATAGTGCAAGTACATGTTTTTATAGCACTGTAACCTCACTGCATCTCTGAACGTCCAAGAGATGAAATCTTTCAGCTTTCATATATAAATCCATACGTCTTTAGGCAATTAGACTGTATATTGCTATAATAGTCCTACTTTATGGTTACATACTTACCTTGCAGCTAAGTTTAAAAAAAAAAAAAGTGTTAAGTGCTTTTCATGTTCAGCAATGCCCTGCAAAAATGTAAACTTTATTTTAATGTTAGTCATTAAAAGTGTTACAAAATCATTTGTTTGGAAGGTCCAGCTATAACTAAATAATAATTTTCCTCTTTTGATTCTCAGAAGAAGCACTCTGAAAGTTTTAACCCTTATAGCATGCCTGGCTTTGCAATGTTCTGTGTTGTATGTTTGTTTTTGCTTAATACAGATAGATACTCAAATTTTAGTGAGGCAGTTCTGGTGTCTCCTTGTTTATACTGTGTCTGTTTTCACATAGGTTAAGTGCAAAGTAGTTTACTACATGTAGGCTACATTTAAAATTTTCATTTTCTTGTAGTTTTGTAAACAGGAAATATACAGGCAATTTTTTTTTGCCTAATTTTTGATAATTCATTTCCAGCAATTTACCTGCAAACAATGAAAGGAAAGCCCAAAGGAATGAAATAGTAATTATTTCACACTGCAAGTACACTGCAGTATTTTGTATTGTATCACTGCTTAGCCCATGCCATTTTAAGCCTTACAAATGAGATTGTTGCATGTACTTGTAGAAAAATCAGCAGCTGCCATTAACCTGTAGTACTTAACTAAATCTTAGAAAGTCTAACAGTAGGAACCCTGGTATGGTAAAAATAGTCTCAGCTGAAAATGGCAGCCTTATTTTTCCAACATACACTCATTGATTTTTGCCTGTATTAAGCTCATGACAAGTAGTTCTGTTATAATATATTGAATATTTTGATTATTCTAAATAGCAGTGCAAGTCTTTTAGCTTTATTTATTTGTTTCCTCCCTTTCAAAGTAAAAGGTAGAATGCAAGGGTAGCCTCGTTGCATGGGATTTGAAGTTAAAAGGAAGATGGGACAGTACTGCCCTGATCACCAGGTTTTGCTTAAGATTCTGCATAATACAATGCAGAGATCAGTATTTATCATCTTTATACTGGTGAAGAAGGATTCGAATCACATTTCTGTGCTGAGGCAGATTCCTCAGTATGACTGGAGGTGTTGTTAGAATAATAATAATAATGAAAGAAATATGTGTAAGAAAATTATACAAGTAGCTGTATAGTGTAAGTAAAGTAAAATGCCTGTAGCAATATCCAGGTGTATTTGAAGTACCTGCTATGTTAACAGCAGCAGTGCTTTCTCGAGCTTCCAGATCCATGTTCTCTGGCTGCAGAAACCTACATGAAAATCATCTCTATGCTGCCACTAAAATGATAGCTTCAGCTTTTGGTGATTGTTTATTTTGTACTGAAAAAATGTTCTGATTTCTTTCTCACACTCAAGCAGAATTTTAGTGCCCCTTGTGCTCTGACGTCCTGGCTGCTATGCAGACGGCGTGCTCACTCCTTTAGGCACCCTGTGTGCACAAACGTCTGGTTAGGTCAAGCAGGCGCGGGGTGAGGGTGTAGTCAGATGAACAGATAACTCGCAGCATCACCTATGTTGGTGTTAATTATATCCCTCAGATGTTGAAATTAACGGATTAAAAAACAAACAAACAAAAACAACAACAAAAACCCTTAAATCCGTTGATTAAAGTAGGAGCAGATGAATCAATCCCTTTGTTTTAAGCGTAATGTTAAATGTACATCTATGTCCCGCGTTTCACTAAACAAATAATTCTTTTTCAAAAGCGTTTCTGGGATCCCTTTGGCCCGCGCGGCAGGCGGGGAGCCCCGCGCTGTGTCCGGGCACCCGGGGCGCCCCCGGCGCGGCGCCAGGAGATGCCCCCAGAGACCGCGCAACCTCCGCGACGGGGCCGCCCTCCGCGAGCACGCGGCCGCTCCGCGCCCCTTTGCTGCCTTCGAGCAACCGGGTTGCTTAAAGGAAACCTCAAATTGGCGTGGACATAGTGCAGAAAAACAAACACACCGGCTTAACGATATGTCTCAATTACTCTGTTGTGTGGTAAGGTTCAAAAGGCAGTAGAAGCATCGAGTGAAAGTTAATGGTTTTTATAAAATATGTGCATTTAATTAAGTATCAGTTTTTGATATTGATATTAGGAATAAAATAATCTTCACTTATATAAAACATAAGTCATTCCATTTCAGCTCTCCATTTACATATTGCATGATATTATAAAGACACAATATGCAAAGACAAGCACTTGCTCGGAGCAGTTGCAGCTTGTTTGAAGATACAATGAAAAGTTTACTTCTGTCACCCAGTGCACCTCTTTCCAAAAACATTGTCGTTGGAAAAATATTGCTACCGGTTTCAGCCAGAAGCACTTTGATAATTGAAGCAATTTCAGAATTTGTTGCAATGTCGAGCGCATGGGCAACGCCAATAATCATTCATCCCTGTAATATCATTGAAACCTATCCCTATTTTATCCCTCATGTATGATCAGTCACTGACAGCTTATATATAACTGTAACTTAAGAATACAAGTGTATTATTTTAGTCTTCAAGTATTTTTCTGTTTTTAGATAAAACTTGGTAAGATAGCTTTTTATCTTTATTCTTTACACTTACCTTGTATACTTACTTGTAGATTTGAATATCTACAGCAGACACAGTTATTTACCTTTTATAAATGCAGTTATGCTTGCCTAAGAAAAAGATGTGACCCGTGCGATATGCTTATTTCAGTATTACTTCAGTTTCTTTGATAATTGACATTGGCTTTTTTTTTAAAAAAAAGATGAAATACTTTTTAAAAGCTGACTGATTTTCCTGCATGTAAATGTCTGCATATGTAAATAATTGACATAATTATGTCAATTTGTGCTGTTTATGGGGAAAATGTGCTAAAATACACTGAACTGCAGCAAATATGTTACATGGACACAGGTTTTTCTGTTTATATAAAAATTAATTCTCAGCTAGTATTCAACGTCAAAGTTTAAATGATACTTTGATAAGTAATTTTATGATGTTTTAACATACTTTTTTTCTAATATATCTGCTCCTCTAATACATGTACACACACATGTAAATATATATATTGCATTATATGAATAAATAAATGTGTATGTAAACTATACAGACTGTGATTCCACTGCTTTGAGTTATCTTCCTGTAGATTTCAGTCTTAGGTCTGTGTAAGACGGTAGAATTTTTTCACCTTTATTCGTTAACTTCCCTTTAGTTGAATAGAAATATAAAAAAAGGAGTGGAGAATACACTGCAGTACACTGCACTAGCTTAACGTAATATCTGCACAGTGTTTCGAAGCTGTATATTGTGAATTCGATATATTCCAATTATAGCATATTGTGACAAATTAAATCTTAAATGTTTGAATGTATTTCTCATTTACTTTTAGAAAAGAAATGTTGCAAATGTTTGCTGATACAAAATGCTTATACATTTTCCCTTGTGTGCATGTATAATATGTGTTTTTCAATCTTGACAAACACGTATTTATATTCTAAAAATAAATTCCGTGCTGTCTAGCCCAAATCATGTCATGTATCTTTTAGAATTGTGTAATATTTTTCTGTTCAGTTCTGCAATTGAAATGTAAGAAAAATACATGTGCAGCATTCATCTGCGTCTGTGTAATAATTAATAGATTTTGTTTTAATGGCATGAAATGTGAAATAAACAGCATGGCTTATTCACATATTAAATCTCATATTATTGGTTATTCCGTGGACATTTAGCTAAGACGTTTACACCGTTTCCATGTTAAAGAATTGCAGTAGCTCTTCTTAAGCTAGAAACATTAGTCTCATTAGAGATTAGTCTATTGCTTAGAATGAGGCTCATCTGAATTTATTATATGCGCTGCAAATCTCAGTTTTCAAAATTGTTTTTCTTTTAAAGACTCTGAGAATTTGCAGTTAAATACATTTAAATCCAAAAATACAGCTTCTAGATTGTTTCCCAATTCTGCAAACCTTTACATATGTGCGTTGCAAGCAGTCCCACTGGGCTCATAGCTTGTTCCAGGATGGGATGCAGTGATTTCTTCATGCCACGTGGAAGAAATATTTGGATTATTTCCGGAAATACTGCCTCAAAAGATCAATTACCTCTTGAAAATATTTAATCATGCATCTTTTTGATATGTATATCTCATCAGTGTTTATGAACTTTGATAAAAAATTATCATTGTAGCTCTATGGAAATATGATTGGATTTTAAAATGGGGGAGAATCATCAAACTTCTGTATCAGGATACCAATCCCAGCTGAAGTTATATGCTAAACAGAAGCAAAATAATATGTAATGATTGTGTTTCTGGCATAGCATTTGTTTGACGTTTTAAACCAAGCCATCATAACCTCCAGCAAAACTACTTAACATATACATTGTTTGGCATGCAGAATGTGCTTCATTTTTCCCTGTACACTGTTTTAAAGCAAACTAAGAGTTTATTGTGTTTCCATAAACTAATGTTAACATCTCTTCCCTGTTTTCCTCCACCTCCCCAGTCGCTCAGCCTCTTTGGCCAGTACCAGCTGAATGATACCGGTGCTGTTTTAACGTTTGCAATATGTATTTGGGTATTGACTCACTGTTGCTATATTTACTTCCCTAGGGTGGGACCTCCTTAATCATATATTAACAGAACGTTTTTTGAGTAGAGGAGAAAATATCCCTTCTCCACTGGTGAGCTGCAGAGGTCTCTTCTTGAAAACTGTTTTAGTATCCGTACTTATTTAGTAAGGTGGAGAACAGAATACAGGCTGAAAGGATTGAAATCCCCCTTTCTTATTCCCAGTTGCAGGAATTCATACAAGAAGAACATCTGCATAGACATGCTGCGACAGGGTTATCACAAGTCCTTCTCGGAGCTCTTCGCTCTGATACAGAAGTGGAATGCCTTGAGGGAGGCTGCAGGGCCTGGGTCAGCCATATGGCAGCAGCCGTCCCTGGAGGAGCAGCCTGATAAGCTGGATCAGCTTTACCACTTCCTGACCAGGGCCGAGGCCGCGCAGCGAGCAGGTAAATGCGGGGGCTGTGGGTAGCCCAGCAGCGGGAGCCGCAGCCGCCAGCGCCGCGGGGAAGCTTCCAAATTGTTTCATGTATGAACTGGAAGCATTACTGCATCCTAGCGCATTTCAGCCTTAGTCAGCTAAGCTGTATTTATAGGATAAATGATGAGGAGCTGCAGATACCGGGAGAGGGTCTGTGAAGTAAAAGGGGGGAAATATCCAGAGTGCATTATGATATCATTGGAAATGCTTGATATATTTATAGTTCTGGTAACATCTCAATTATTGTCTGATAGTTTCATTATTTATTATCATTCTTTCTCTATTGATTTGGAGTAGAAAAATTTAATAGGTGAAATGTTGTTTCATGCAGTAATAGTTTTATAAATCTGATTTTATTAAATACCCTGCCTGCTAACTATGTTTGGATTTGTGACTGACTTTAAAAGGATTGTGAACATGTCAAATGAAATGCAGCACATAGATGTAACTTGCCACCTGTGAATTACTAGATATTAGTGAAGACATAACTCCAAATTACTGTGTTTTCTTCTACTGAGTATCCGTTGCTAAACTCTCATGTTTATCATTTGCTTTCACTATAAATAGTAACCTAACTTACTCTATCTTTCTCTTTTGGCATAATTGTAGGAATGGAGGCAGATAAAGCTCTTACTACAATCTTATTTTGTAGCAGAGCCTATTTCATTATAGGTGTCTTGTTTTGTGTTATATTTCAGATATAACAAGGAGGGAAATCTAAAACTAAGCTTGTGAGTTTAGGACCTGAACTTTTTGTCTGAACTTTGGAAACGGAAAACTTTGTTTTAACAAAGCATAAAAAAAAGCTTTACCATCACTCATTTAAAACATGTATTTTATGTTCATTATGAGAGCCAAAAGCTGTCTGTCTTTAATTCACTGTAAATCTAGACATAAAGTTTATCCAGGCCATGCTGAGAAGAATCTTTGGATTTTTCTGGGCTGCAACTAATACCTCAGTAGGTCCCCTGTAACTTAGAGGTGGGCAGGAGAGTGGTTTTGCCTTTGGACTGCCCTGCCGTAAGCATCTCTGCCATTGTTTGACATTGCAAAAGCAGTACATGCAGCCTGGCTTGATGGGCCTGCTTCCTGCAGCTGTCTGAGGAAGCTGCCTGAGTGTTTTACCCTCCTTGCAGGCCTTTGGAGAGGCGAGGTTTTTTTCCATGCTGCTAACTGGTGTTTGTTCGGCAGTAGAGTTGGCAGATGTGCCCTCGGAGAGTCAGGGTGCCGCTCTCTGTCCAGATCCAGCTTGTGTGAAAGGCAGAGACCTTGTGTCCCCGAGTCCAGCATTGGGCTGGGCTGGGCTCCCAGAGCCCTTCCTCTCTCACTGAGGGGAGGTGCTGCCAGTCAGCCACGGGTTGTATCTTGCCTCTGGGAGAGTGTGTCTCCCTATGCTGCCTGTTAGGTTAGTTAAAACAAAATAAAATAATGAGACGGTGCCAGCAGAGTTGGCAAGGGTACGAGCAGTGCATCTTCACTGAACTGCCTGCTCAGAGTATGGTTTGAGTTTGCTTTTTTTTACCAGTTTTACCAGCTGCTATGTGAAGGGGCGATTGCTAAGTCATGTTGCTGATGTTAGAACAAGTAATGCTGTGAGGATAATGTATGAATTATACAGTTCATTAAATACTAATTTTCAGTAGTTCTGCTAATCCAGTAACTCTCTGATTTTTAATCAAATCGCTTGGGGCTCTGCCTTATGATCTCCTGACAACTTTAGTTGACAACATTTAAGAATTTTTCAGCACTATAGTTCACCCTTCAGCTCAAACTTACCACCCTGTAGCAGTCTTGGCAGCAGGTGACCTGCATTTGCTCCTTAGCCATCACAGTTCAAGTTGAAAGTGGCTTAGAAAGCTAAAAATAGTATCTGGGCCTGTGAACTGAGAATTTTATGGTATGGTTGTTACTGCTAATCAGAAAGAGACTCTACCTGTAGACAGGGGTGCTGTCTGACCTAATACTTATGGTAAGAAGATATCTCAAGTATAAAACTGTGGAATACAATTTATAAGCTGCATTTTTTACATTTTCTTTTAATGAGAGGAATAAATATAATCTGTTGTGGTGGCTTTTAAGTGGTGTTTACGTACAGATTACCACTATTTTGACTTAAACTTCATTGCCATATGAAATTTATTTTACCTGGAGAGGTTGAATAAGGAGGTCTTTTCTACTTCAGTGGCTTAACTTACTGTGCCTTTGAAGATCCATGACCACAACCAAATAAACATCTTTTTGCTAAACTCTCAGGAGAGATAAGAAATTTTGGCAAAAAAAGAAAAAGCTGGTATGATTAAGGAAAATCTTATTTTGCTAAGATTTACAAGTCCTCCATTATCTGATATTGTATATACTCACTCCAGTGTTTAGGACTATAGTATATGCATTGGATACATACTTTTTATCATCTTATTTTTGAAGTGAGTGGATATAAAAGACTAAAGAAACCTGTCCTTTCTTGTGGCAAAACTTATGCTTTTGTTCATGAATACCCCGTTAATAGCAGTTGCTTGGCATAGCTAGCAGTATTTTATTACTGTTGTAGGATGCTTTAAATTCTTCCTAGTCTGGACTCTGTGTTCTGCTTCTCATAAACTTTATCTGTATGGGTTTTTTTTTTTTTTTTTTGCTGAACTAATATCACGATCGAGGTCTCTATTATAGTGCCATGTAACCCACCTAGGTTTACCTTGCGTTCAAGAGTATCATATTTTCCCAGCCACCCTGATATGTTTGAGTCTTATACTAACTGGAACTAGAAATTTGCCTGAGAGATTTCTTCTTGTTGCAGCCTGTGTGCTCTGAGTAAGACTCGTAAATTTTCAGTATTAATATTTGATTTGAGCGTTTTCTTCTGTTACGGACTTGGTTGTAATCGGGAAAGCACAAAAGAATTACACATGGCTAAGCAGAGCCAACTCTGACTCACGTGATCGAGACATAAATGCACCAACTGAGGAATATGTTCATATACCATTCCTCTCACAAAACATCACTTACCATGTCGATAAATAACTTTCCCATTTGTTAGGGGAATATCCACCAGAAAATACCCACCAGATATTTTTGGATCATAGGATGTTGCTGTCTTATAGGGAATACAGCAGAGTATGATATTTTAATTTGGTTTCCACTTGAACAAAAATGTGGTTGAAATGGAGAAAATCTTTGTGAAATACTTTGCTTTCAGTTTGGTATTTTAGAATGAAAAAAATGTTCCATTGGTAATTGCCTGTGGGGCCTGTTCTCAGCCCTGTTTCATATCTTCAGTTATCTCCAAACCCAGAAAGTATCAAGCCTCACTGTCTGCGCCAACAAGGTCTCCTTAGCTGAATTTTGGATATCCATCCTGCCGTTCATGCTTGCAGTGTCTTCTCTCAGTTCTGGGTCTTTAATATTCCAGAACATCTCAATTAAGTTTCCAGTCTTTTGTGTAGCTAATGTAATTTTGGGAAACTCGTTTGAAGAACAGCATTTGAACCTTTAGCCATGTGCTTTCTTAACTGCTTCTTGTTTGAAAACAGAATTTGTCTTGCAGGAGCTGTTTTGTAACTGCTTGTGTGACTCAGATTTCTCTTTCCTCATTCAGTATCACATGCCAGTGCTTTCCTTTCCTCTTTTATAAGTAGTGGATATAAATGTGGGTTTGTTGTTGTTGATAAAAATGCTTTTTCCCCACTACATGTATTCTGTATCAGAAGGAGAAAATTTACCTCACAAAAATCAGAGAGGTCAATACTTTAATAACTGAACTACCTATGGGAGATTTTACAGACAAGAGTATTTACCTATTCTGGTATTTTTCTTCTCCTGGGATTTAAAGTTCACTTTCACAAAATCTAATGGTCTGACTTTACCACTGTCAGAATAATCTTTATGAGTTTCTAGATTTATAAATCAAAGAGATATTGAATCTAGAAGACAATCTTGCTTTTAAAAGTCTATCTTTTGGGGGTTGTTTTGTTGTGACACCAGTGTATCTGGGTAGCCACTGTCCAAGACAATTAGGGAGAAATGGTTGTCTTTGTGCACTTCTCATTGTTATTCACTGGCAGGATAGGCAGCAGAGGGTCACATTGAAGTTCATTCAATCAAAGCTGTGGCAGCAACAGTAGTCAGCCTCGGGTCAGTTCCATCTCTTGAGATTTGTAGGGCACTACCTGAAGTCATTTGCATAACTTTATGTAATATTAGTGCCTTGATATCTTGTAGCAAAGATTTTAAAGGCAACAAATCTGTATCTTATGTTCTCCCAACAACCATCCAATTCTCTTTCCCCTTACTGTCTTAAAGTAACCACTTGTATGTATCCTCTGGTATCTAAATTCATTTTCACTTAGGTGTAAAGAGGATATAATGTGCATTGTTATCTTACAATATATTAGTGATCACTACAATTATATTTCATCTTTTTCTTTATGTTCATGGGATTATTTATGTAGTTCAAATTTTCATGGGAACCTCTGCCTTGCACTTTTGAAATAAGCTTTACATTAGCGCTGTCTTGTGGAGCAATAGATATTTAACTTGGGATGAGATAAAACACATCCAAGAATTATCAGCCTTTATTCGCTCATTAAAGGTATCCTAGGTAACATGAGTCTATATCTGTTATATTGGATGAACCTCAACAATCTCTTATACATGTGTAGATATACAACAGCCTCCCCCACACATACCCCTAAGCCCTTCCAGTATTATATGCAGAGATATGCTTATTTCTAATGTATAAATAAGTTTTGCATAGTACACAGCCTCAAGAGGAACAAAAGACATGGCATTCATAGTCATGAAGAATGCTGTGCTTAAGCAAACATCAAGCTTACATGTTGTTATTTTTTTCTTAAGGAAAAACTTTTAACTTCAGCTGATATTTTAGTACTAACAATTCAAGCTTTAGATGTAAATGATGAGATGATCATATAGAAGTATTTCTGGGGTATTTCTTTGTATTTTGGGATATTTCTGTTGTTAGGCACTCCAATGTCTTGGAAGGAGTGTTATTTAAAATACTAGAAGTCTGAATGTATATAACATGGCCAGTTTTCAAATAAGTTTTACATATTTTAATGGCAGTTGTTTAAGAAATCATTAAAAGGGTGGAAAAGATGAAGTGCCATTTCATTGGTGAAAAAACTGTCAAGAAAATAAATAGGAGAGTAAAATATTACTTAGAAAAGCAAAAGTTAGATAAACAATATTTCCTTGTTGTTTAAGGAGGAAAATAATAAGTTTACAAATCACAGGACAAAAACAGTGAGTGTTCAAGAATGGGAAAATAATATTTCAGCTTGGTTTCAGGAGACTTCAAGCACAGAAAAATTAGATGACCTTGTTCAAAATATCCAAGTTCAGATCAAAAATGACAGAGAAATAACAATATTAGATAATCCACAGTTGAATACTGTGGAAAGGGTGAAGAGGTAATTGAATTCTTTCAAATGTCAGAATAAAGTTCTTCCTGTGCTGTGCCATGTGCTGAAGAGCTTTATCGAGACGTTTTGAAGTTAAAAAAGTTAACTGTGGCCACAGACAGCATGAGAGATTTCAATTGCTTCCTAGTAAAACAACACAATTTTTAACTTTGAGACAAAACATACAAGAGATGAGGCTGAGGGAAATGCTCTCTGATTTGGTTTAAACTAAAGAGATACGAGAACATGCAAACGAAATACTGCTTTGAGGAATTAATGTCCTTTGTTTCAAACAACACTGGTAACTTACAGAGGAGATAATTTCTTGATTGCAAATTCTATTCCCTTTTGTTGGTGATGTTGGCTTTTCCTTAACAATTCCTGTCATAAAGAAACCAAAGGAACTGAACACCATCCTTAGATGAAAATCTTTGACATAGCACCATAGTTTGAAAATGGTTAGAAAATATCTGGACTTTGAATTAAATCTTGCCTTTATTGAAATAAGGTTTTTTGTTTTGTTTGTTTTTTATCCCAATTGATTTCTGTACACTGAGGGGTAGGGGTTTTTCTTTCTTTTTCTCTCCTTCTTTCCTTGTTGAGCAAAGCTTACAAATTACAGGTCTCCTGAAAGCAAAGCAACTCTGTCCACATGTCATTCTTTTACCTGTTGCAAGAATTGCGGATCTTAGCTCCTCTCTTACCAGCTACCTCAAAAAATATTTTAAGAACATGCTCTTTGGATACGGTCATTTAACAGCCACAAACACAGTAAATGAACAACAAAAATTACAGTGGAATTTAATTAGCTGTTCACATTGAAATCCAGCATGAGCAGAGTTTTGGGAAGCAAATTCATGTAGTTTTGCCAGCAATAAATTCAGCTATGAATTGTATCAATGTATGTTATACTTTATTATCTCTTAAATTCTTCATCATCTTGTAGGGAACAAATACTTCAAATTCTTTGGGGAGAGGCAGTTTGATAAGACTTGTCAAGTACCTTTAAGTTTTAGGTCTCTACTGCAAATCAGTAGAGCTTTCAAGTAATCTCCTGAGATTTTTTTTTAATGTACTCGTCTGAAAGAAGTATCTGTAATTCCATAGAAGCTCTCATTCTGTAATTTTAAATTGTGAATAATGCATTTTGTAATGCTACTTATATTTGGGATCCACAGCATTTATTTTTAATTTTAGGGATCTAGAGTCTATGAAAGGATACTCTGTGGGATGGCTTATTTCTGTGCAAAGTAAATCATAGTTGTTCATTAAGATGAAATGATAAAAACTGGGAAGTAAATGTGTTCTTCAGGTCATAAAGTAAATTTGGGACTTGAGTTTCTTCTGCTTTCCACATCTGTTCTGAGATGAACTCTTGACATCACTCCTTGATGAACTCTTCACATCTTCAAGATATAAAATTATGGTTTGCCTTTAATTTGTAACAATGATAAGGTAGCAAAAATAAGATTGTAGATGAAAACTGCACACCTTTTCACTAAAATATTATTTTAAATGTTTAAAATGGCAGGAAAATAACAGCGTAGTTTTTGTTTAGCCCCATCATCACAGTTGCTACCATAGACCTGTTTGGAAAGCTGTCCGTGCCTCTTGAGGTGTCAGTGGCTCAGGTGCACCCTTCTCTAGTAGTAGCTGGCTATGCTTTTTGCTCATACTAGCCTCTCTCTTTTGATAAGTCAGTTTCTTACCCAGGTTTCCCATGCTGTGTTGAAATATATACACACATATATATATACACTTTTTTATGGAACTGATAGCAATTTACTTGTTTTGATAGAGTAAGTTTTCACTTTCGTTTTAATTCAGGAGATTAGTTTTTCTCCTTATTTCTTTGGTTGAAAATTGAGGAGTATTTGGTGGTATTTGATTTGTGGATATATAAGTAGCCCTTGTTTTTTCATTATATGATTATTACTGGATAAAACTTGTGAAAGCTGATGATTATCTGATGTTTTCACTGTATTTTGTTTTAAAGGGAACTATGAGGAAGTCTACAATAACCAGCTGAACTTGGCCTACTGTTTCAATGATTCCGAGGACAAATGGTTAAGGAATTACTTTTATGAGCAATGCTTTAACACTGCTCAACTAATAAAAATTGATGGTGGGAAGAAAGAGGCACAAGCACATGCAAATATGGGCCTCATCAGTGAGGAACAAGGTAAGTCACTGAGATGAAGATGCTGCATTATATCAGTATTCAGACAGTCATACTTGGTACTTCATGTTTTATAACAGGGTCTATTTTTTTAAGTTCTGCTTTATGGATTGAAAACATTCCAACTTTGAGCTCACCTAGTCTACTGTGTGACTCAGGTGGAATTTCTTTTCTTAGAAGAGATTAAGAGAAATTGAAACATTCTGTGGAAATAGTATAATTCTGATAATAGTTTTGAATTATGAAGTTATCCCTCTTATAGATTGGTATCATTAGAACTCCTAGTAAGCATTCACTTCCTAATGAACAATCTTTCCTTTCCATAATGCAAATCCTTGGTGAAAATACTATGTAACATACTGGACCTAGGACAGGCACCTTTGGAATTACACTGAGTGTTTTTCTTATCTGTCAGTGAACTGCCAGTGTATATGTAGAACATCCTGCAAGAGCTGATTTGCAGACACCTAGCAATAGTGACAAGTGTACTGTGCTTCCATGATGTTCTACTGTTCATTTTAGGCAATGAGAAAGTCTTTAAAACATTCAGTATGTGTCCTTTCTGTCTCCTTTTTGTTTTTCTTTCTTTCTTTCTTTTTTTAAATTAATTTTGGCCAGACTTCTTTCTATTTAATAGAGATATCTGATTAAAAATAGATAGCTAAAAATAGGTAAGCTAAATAAAAGATTGACTCCATGAGATGTGCTCTCAACATATTGGTGTTGGTTGTAACACATTTTCATATTTCCTTCAGATGCTTAGGAATAGCTTGTTTGATTATTTATACCAATATTATTTCAGGAATTGAAGCTAAGCTAAACCCAATTTCCCCGTAGATGAGATGTTACTTGCTTTAAAATCATGACCAAGTCATTTTCATTTTTGAGTGAAAAAAATGCTTAATTAGGTTATCTGTGTGATCCTCAATAGAATAAAATAGCATAAGTTATTGGGTATTTCAACCTTTCACCAGGTCCTTCAGATACTGAAAAATAAAGCTGTTATAGGAAGGTGCATTAAAGTATTTCTATATATAGCTTCAAAGGCTTATACGGAGTGTGACTCACTAGTGTTATCTACCCATCGCCTTAAGCCTTTTTAACACTTCTTTTTATGATGCATTAAGCAAAACTTGTCGAATACTTAAATATCCTTAAATCTTCTACAAAAACAGTGCAAGTGCCAAGGTAAGTATGCTTTGAGATGCTCGGAGGAGGAGGGGAATTTTCCTTTTCCTAAAATATTTGAAATTTCCATATGAGAAACTTCTTATTAACATAAGTAAGGAGGGAAAAAAAGCAAGGTGCATTTTCACTGCCCAGGGTAAAGCTCCATTAATCTGTAGGATTTGTCTTTTGCAAATATTTTATTTCCATAGAGAGAGGTGAAAAAATAAAGGAACTTGGAAAGTAAGCCTAGGATTTGCTTTCAGATACCACCAAGAAAAAGACAGTGCATGTATTCCATTTATTTTTTATTTTCAGCTGGTAAAAACTTAAATGTGATAGTAGAAAAAGTAGCAGCAATGAGGTTGAGTTGGGATGGTGTGAAATTACATTAATGGAATTATAAGTAAAATTATAAACCCTCTTTTTAATTTTAGAAAGAACAGATAGATATGGCTTTTAAATTAAGTGCTCACTTTTTTTGTTCAGTTACTTCATAATAGTGTAATTTTGTTGTGAACTGAATGACTCAGGCACCTGCTGCCATATACATATATAGAGAAGTGTATGTGTGTATACATATGTACATATATATTTAGGTATGTATATGTATGCCTATATAAATATTAGGGTGTGGGTACACACATGAATGATCATAGAATCATAGAATGCTTAGGGTTGGAAGGGACCTCTAGAGATCATCTAGTCCAACCCCCCTGCACACGCAGGGTCACCTAGAGCACGTGGCACAGGACTGCGCCCAAGCGGGTTTTGAAGATCTCCAGAGAAGGAGACTCCACAACCTCTCTGGGCAGCCTGTTCCAGTGCTCTGTCACTCTCACTGTTAAGAAATTTTTCCTTAAGTTCCTGTGGAACTTTTGGTGTGTCAGTTTGTGGCCATTACCTCTAGTTCTGTCAGTGGCCACCAGTGAAAAGAGGCCAGCACCATCTTCCTCACTCCCTCCCTTGAGGTACTTATAGACGCTGATTAGATTCCCTCTCAGCCTTCTCTTCTCCAGGCTGAACAGGCCCAGCTCCCTCAGCCTCTCCTCATAGGGCAGATGTTCCAGGCCCCTGATCATCCTTGTGGCAACAAGGATGATCAGGGGAACAATGATGCCTGATATTTACATGATACTTTCATCTGATATAAATTGTCATATCTATATTAATTCTATTTATTTAATCTGCAGTCAAAATATTTATTTTAATGGGACTGGGAAATAATAGTGCAAGGACTAAGACAAGAGCAGGTATTATTCTTATGAAAGATCATACATGCATCCTTTGGATGTAAATATATTATGCCAGGTCTTCTCACATCTTTCGCTCAACAGTTTAATTTTTTCTTATTTTTTAATGGAAGCTGAGTATATATGCTTAGGAGAGGTTACTTATGAGTGTTAAGGACCTGTTTGTTGCAAAGATTGTTGTTTACCTGAGAAGCAAATTGTTCATTTGCTGGGTTAATCAAATTGTGCAATTAAATTTAAAGTTTTTGACTTTCAGCCTGGTCCCTGTCCTAGAGACTGGAAATAGATCTGATGTTTATTAATTTTTAAAGCTAAATATTTGAAGCGTTGCCAGCATAGACTTCAGTCATGGTATTGGGATGCAGATGATTAGTGTTAGTAGTCAGTAGTTAATGGCTGTCAGTAAATAAGGAAAAGAAAACTAATAACAGAGTAGCCTGCTACAGACACAAATGAAACACGGGGCTTGGAGCAAACATGATTTCAGTGGCAGTTCTTTGCAGAAATAAATTTTTACTTCTTTGAGAATCTCTGTTTATAAAATAAAATCTCTGCTTATGAGTTAGTTACCCAAATGAGATGATTACATACATGGGAATGAGGGTCACATAGAGTGTTGGATTATGATACTAGTCAATGAGCCGCATTCACTGCATAGTTTGACTTCCCTCAGGGAGATGATCTTGAATGCTTTTATTCGTTTGGTTACTACTTATTTCCTTATGTAACTATTAAACATGATGTCACTTTATTGTCACTTTGAAAAAGCAATGTCATACTTTTATATCTTTTCTTACATTAAGTCCAGTATTATGTATCTTCCAAGTAAGCCCAGGCTTTGTGACAGAACCTCAGTTAAGGCAAAATCTTTTCACACTGTATTTTTATTCCTGTGCTTTGGATGGGTTTTTAGAAGTAATAAAATGATAATCAGAATCAGTGTTATAAATGCATATATTTTTCTGTATATCAGAGAATAAGTAGTAGTGTTCTTTTATGGTCTGAGGACCAGCCACTGTAGTTCTGCTGTTAGTGTAAATTCTGCTGAATTAGGAACTTCAGATTTAGTGCTAGTTTATACAGATGGCTGTGCTGCCAGTCCTCATCATCGTAGTACTTGAGTGTCTTCTGTTGTGGATTAAATGGTTAACACCCACCATGCATGAAATGATACAGGTCTTACATGTATCTCAAAGTTTCAGATAATTTACATGAGTAACAAAAGCAGCCCAGGGGAAATGAGTAAGAGCTATTTCCTTCCAGGAGGTTAAAATAAAATTAGATAGAATATTTTATATTCTATTTTATATCTATTTTATTCAAAAACATAAAGAATTAAAACAGACATCAGAAAGTGTGCTTATTCTGAAAGCAGCCATCAAGGCCACTGAAATATAGTAAGGGCTAAAGGAGAGGATATGTGTGCACTCACACACATGCACACACAAATGTACAGCCATATATAGGTATGTGCATGGCAGCAGTTGCGAAACCAACAGGAGTCACAGAAAGCAGTATTTAAGCAGTATTTAAGATTTCAATCTTAATATCAAACGATTCTGCTTTTCTTAAAGAAGCTTCAAAGTAGCCAGTTAACTTACCTGTTGTAATTCTAATAGGTATGTGTCTTCCTTTACGGCATACCCTTGTAGAAAGATAGCTCGTGGTACATGGGCTTTGGGAAAGTTGAGTATGAAGAGTGACATGGAGAACATCTGGCCTCATTGTGATCTTCCTTAACACATATCCACCATCTCCCCTAAATGATGCAAGGATCTCTGCACTTCCCTTGTGGAGATGAGCAGGAAAGTTGAGCATTCGCAGGCTGTGGTCCCTTCCCTGTGTTAGTAAATGAAGCAGTGCCTAGAGATGTTTGTAAAGATGTACTCCAGTGAGTACAGGTCAATGCAGGGTGTTAGAGCAGCCCCTTGTATGCTTTTAGCTCAGGCCAGCTTATATTTTCCCTCTGCTTTCCTGCAGTTATTTATGGCACAGTTGGGTGGTTAGAGGGTTGCAGGGACCAGCCTAATAGGCACTGTGCCTGCAGCCCCCGTGGAAGTGTAAGAGTGTTTATGCTGTTTGGAAGGGTAAGAGTGTTTACGAAATGGATATATCTTCCATACCAGCTGGTTGCAGTGCTTGGAAACATCTCTGGACGCATTTAACTAACTAGCTTAGAAGAAACTTGCATAACAGTGTAGTCCAATGAATAAAACTTCCCCAACATGCCAAATGTAAATCAGGTCATATTCCTTGATAGGAGATTCTGAGGTGTGTGGAGATTATGCCACTCATCTCATGAGATGGTGGCATAAAACAAGTTTTCTAAGACCTACTGAATGAACATAGGGACCTCTAAGTTAAGTTAATTTATTGTGAAAAATAGGGTTCATATAGGATTTGTCAATCCAAATTAAAACCAAGGGATAGGAGTTCTGCCTATCATTAACTGTACTATTCAAATGAATTTAAAGGTTTAAATCAAAGCTTTATAGAAGTAATGGGAAAGATTCCTATTGACTTTAGCGGACATTTGTCCAGCCCTTCCAGTTCATCATAATTACTTCTGATCTATTTGAGAAA